AAATAAATAAATAAATAAATATATAAATAAATAAAGTAAACAAATAGGTCATTATTTATCTATAAATTTACCATCACAATGTTGTAAATAATTCATACTTCACAGAAAAACGCTTACGCTTTTATCATAAGGTATTTTTTATTTACCTAAATACGAAAACTAATAAGAACAAGTAGATAAATAAGAAAATAATAAAGGTCAGCACTCAAGGCACACAGGCGGCCGTTCAATCTGCTTCTGAATGCTTGACTGATTGATTGATTAACTGATGTCATGATTTATATTGGTTAACTGATACACAAAAATAATTTATTAGATTAACTGTCACAATGGATACCTTCTTCATTGACCTTATTTCTGATTATATAGGGGAAGTTTCAAATTCAAAAATTTGTTAAAATCTATCAACCCAGACGATCTTTCAGAGGTACATCAGTTACAATACAAGATTCAACCTGATGCTGGATGCAATTTACAATTTACCTCAGTGAGTAATTTCGTATGTTATACAAAATATATGCTATATGGAAGTGAATTGTTCAATAATATTATTCAGATGCATATGTTTGTGCTAAAATAATAAATATGTGTTACAATTCCATCGATTAGTTTTGTATTTATGTGAAGACAGTATTAAATATTTTTACAGACATATTTCCACTGGGTATTTCAATTTGCAGGGCACAACTGGTCTGCCAAAAGGCACCCTTCTCAGTCATCACAATGTTGTAAATAATGCATACTTCGCAGCAAAGCGCTTAGGCTTTCATCATAAGGTATTTTTTATTAATTAAAATATTACCTTTATGCAAAATGTATCAATGTTTTGACAAGTTTTTGAATTTCGTTTTACCTGAAAAGATATGAAGTAATTCTTTTAATACCTTTCCAATATAAAAACTACAATCAGTATCATCTTCATCGGCTACATTGTTACCTTCGTCGAAGAACTGTTCCGATCACTGCATTCACCTAAGTTCAACGTTTCTCCTCGTCTGATGCCAGAACATCTATTTGCGTTATTCATTGAATGAAAAATTCACTAAATTATTCTCCTTCCTCCTCCCAAACCACCGGCCGGCATGGAATGTGGCCATGCCTTCACAGGTAGCAAAACGAGAAATGGGATTAAGTGGGAAATGGGTTGGAGGGAAAGGCGAACGCGCGATGGAGTCGGGCGATTCCCAGCTAGGAAACTGCTGGTAGCGTCATAATTCTTTCAAAAATGGATTGAAAAATGACCTCCTGAAGCATGCAAGAGCATGTAAGCGCTATCGGCCGTAGTTCTGAAATGGAATTATTAAGTGCGATCCAAACACCGCATACGCGCCAGGCAGAGGGTAACTGCAGAGTAACACACACACACACACACACAGTTAACAATTAGCAGCTTTCTTAAGAAATATTAAGTTCTTTTTAGTGTCAGCAGCACTGGGAAGTGAGTAGTACGTCTATGATATTTTTAAAAATTATACTTAGTGATTGTCTTGGACCTGGCCATGAAGCATCTCTTTTTTATAAAAAGAAGTTATGATGCCAAGTGTGGCCATCTTTCCTAGTCCTAGTTATAATGTATTTTTAAAACAATTATTGGCTGTTTTTGAGATCACTTATACTACGCAAAAGCAACGTATTTTCTAGTAATAGCAGAATTGTTGCATTCTATCTTTCACAAAATTACTTCAGTGTTTATATTTTTAAAACATGTTTACATTTAAGTTGCTCTTAATTATATTGAAAATGTGTTTTAGCATCATCGAATTTGCTTGCAAGTTCCTTTATTTCATTGCTTTGGAAATGTTTTGGGAATTATCATGGCCTTACATGCCGGAAGCACATTAGTGCTACCTTCATACTCATTCCGTGCAGAAGACTCAGTCAATGCTATTGCAAAGGAAAGGTAAATATTGGTAAATTAACATTAATAATTATAATAAATATTTGTAATTATAATAATGAGCCTATAATGTTTGCTTTATACTATGGTCTTGCAGCAGCAAGAAAACCTGCTTAACGAAATCACATATAACAGTTTTCCAGAATGTAGAACGCACACTGCTCAGCAAATAAAATACTCTCGCATAACACTTTAACAAAAACAGACTTCGCGAATACTGTGATAAAGTATAGTACATACAGGTAACTATTTGATCTCGCAAATCCATGTCTGGTAGCACCTTGTGATAATTTAATAACCGCGTATCGTTAGCGCCAATCAAATTCAGCCGTGGCTGTCACTTTGGGACACCAGAAGAGGTGATCGTCGGGTCCTAAGCCGAAGCAACTTTTCTGTTTCTGTGTTTTCCCGTTCAAGACGCAACACAGTCAAGTACGGAGCTCACAGGTCGGAATCTGTTTGGGCTGAGTGAAGCAGGGCAGGTGGGGTGGGGACATGAGTGGGAAAACAAAATGAGTTTCTGTCCAATATGCTCTAGAAACAATACTGTGGTATAGAAGATGTGGGGGGAAGTTATGACTAATTATGTATTAACCTTAACGTAATTAGAATTATTATTTATTTTATGTCACATCTCGCCTTATAAAAATCGTTGGGAGTGTAATTTCCCTCTTCACAGCATTCACAAACACACACTATAAAAGAGTTCAGTGTTAACTGGTTTTTACAATGATGTTGAAAAAGCACAAGAGATAGGATGCATTTTAGGACAAATTCTACTCTTTATTTTATATGAGAAAATAAAAAGCACTATTTCCTTTTGTGAAATTCCTTAATGTAGAATTAGACACAACTGCCTTGGAGGTACAGGAGATTGGAGAAGAATCCTCATATAGAGATCCAAGCGCTGTAGGTACGAATTCCACGGACGACATTGGTGTTTTATCTATTTGTTCATTGGCTTCTCGTATCACCATTAATTCATCTGAACCATCGTCATTTAGAAGAAGGTATAAACAAACTTCCTCTGTGATTATCTGTTCCGGAAGAGAGGGGGCACCAAGGCATAACCCTCTTTTCTTGGCTACTCTTGCAGACTTGAGTACTAAGTTACTCATCGTCGTCGTCATCATCATCATCATCATCATCATCATCATCACATCATCATTATCGCCATCACCAGAATTAGGTATGTCTAAAAGAGCCATATCTAATATTTCATTGTTTTTCTCAGCTGCACTATTATTTATGGAACACCAACAATGTACATTGATATTATGGCCAAGTGTCAAGACTCACCTGCCTCATTATCTTCTCTGGAGTTTGCTATTACAGCTGGATCACCCTCGCCTCCCAATTTGTTCTATAAAATCGCAAACACACTTGGATTGAAGAAATGTTATGTTAGTATTGCAATACTTATAGCAGTATTATTATTATTATTATTATTATTATTAATTTATTAATAATAATAACAGATATAAATATATGTGGGCCTATACCAAATGTTTATATTTTACTTCCTTTATTATTTATTTATATAGTTTTCATGTACTAAATTCTACTTCTCTTCCTACAGTCGGTGTATGGTATGACTGAAACCAGTCCTTTAAGTTTTGTTCCTGATTGTGATGATTCTTTGGAACAGTGCGCCAAAAGTGTTGGAAGAGTTATGGATCATTGTGAGGTAAAATCATCTAGTTGAGAATAATTACGAACCTCCATATTTTTTTTGACTAAGAATCGTTTTGATACATATGTTTAATAATTGCTATTTATACTTTGCATTCTGGCATTTCCAATGTGATTCTCTAACGGTTTTTTCTTCAAGAAATTGTACATATAAAGTATAAAATTACAGAACAGCTTCCCTGAAATAAATTACCTATAATAGATTATCATTATATATTATACTTCTCTGTTCAGATTTTGTCGGTGGATCTGGAGTGCTGCTAGAGACAAAGACACATCATACCATAACAAATAACTATACTATTCACTGCTTTACAGGAACAGAACACTGCTTTACACTTCTGATTCAAGATCGCACACACTGTATACCATTGTCATGCTTGCCAAAGAATACAAAGCACGGCAGTGGCGGATACTGCCAGCCTATGAGACCGAAGTTCTATTTAGTCTTAACAGTATCTTAACATTAACAAAAATGAACATATTCTTGAAAATTCTTTTGGTTAAGCTGTTCTCATTTGTGTATTATTTGGTTTCCAGGTGAAGGTTGTTGACGTGGACAATAAGATGGTGCCAATGGGGACACCTGGTGAATTGCTTGTACGAGGCTATGGCAATATGCTATGTTACTACAATGATGTTGACAAAACACAAGAGATAGTAGGACCAGATCGTTGGCTGAGAACTGGGTAACAAAATTTACTACATTCAATACAATTGTACTGAAGCCACTTCTTAGATGTTTTGTTGAATTGAAAATTATGAAATACAAATTCATAAAATGAACCAACTTCATCTTGACTCTGAGGAACAGATTATTTTTTGTGAGCTTCTTAATTATTCTGTTAAAGACGTTAAAATGATCACTGAAGGTAAAAATGGATGTAATCGGTGCTTGATTTCTGGCAGAACATGACAGAATGGCGTTCCGGTACTTTAGGAACAATTATTAAAATTTAATTAGCCAACTGCACATCCCATTAAGGGCAAGGGCCTCCTGCTTACGCAGGGAATAAATAATCCTTAGCGGCGGCGATGTTGTGACGGTTAGCGTACCGGACTGTTATACCCAAGCTCGCGGGTTCAAACACGATCGAAGCCGTGGATTTTTAGGGCAACAAAATCCTTCTTATGCCTTCCTTCGGAGGAAAAGTAAAGCCGGCTGTCCCATGTTAGTAGATTTACTTGCATGTAAAAGATCCTCAAGCCTAAATGACGCCTCTGAGCTAAATTCAAATCGCCTATTTCTCGCCCAAGAAATAGCTCCTTTCTCCGCTAGTTGATGAAAGGAGCGTAGCGAAATTTGCGTGTTCAGACGGAAGAGCGGGCCTGATGGCCCGAGTCTCGCCACGTAAAATAAGGCCAATTCAATTCAATAATCCTTCTTTAAAGAACTGATAGGATGATGATGAAGGGTGAAGGTATAATCACAAATACATCCATGCCCGAGGCGTGATCCTTCGACACGAGATCACCAGTACATTACTGCCTTAGCGATGTCGGCTATTATAATACATATAATATAAATTATTATTAACTTGATTGGCCACATTGGACCACTTGGGTCGTTCCACTTCACTTTTTACTGTTCGTGGTCGACTGTCGAAGGTATCACCTTGAGGTG